GGGACTCCAGGATCATGACCTGAGCCGAAGGCAGTCGCTTAACCAACTGAGCCACCCAGGCGCCCCCAAGGGGTGCATTTTTAATTACACTTAACATGCTTACCAGGCCTCCTAAAATTCCCAGATGACTCCCGAGCACAGTGTGAGGAGCGTGCATTCAGGAGAAGACAGTGCATGAATAAAACACGGTAGGAAGGGACATCGCCAGCCTCCCTCTCAAGGCTCCTGCGTGGAGGCAGCACACACCGGGGGCCCCGCGAGAAGACTCAGTTATGGCTGGTTTGAACCAGGGGCTCCCAAAACATGTTTGACCACAGCATCCCTTTGCTTTGGACAACTTGCATCCCCCGGGAGCCAGGAGTGTCCTGCATTTCTAGGTCAGCCTGAGTCTGACCAGGTTCAGTCCAGTTCAGGGCCCTCTGGCACAGCAAGGATAGGATGGATGAATCTTCTAGAAGTAACTGAGAAGCAATCTATGGCGCTGCTCTGGCTGCCTCTTCAGGGCTGAGGGAGGCGGTGGCCAAATGTGGGCTGGGAGCCCCGCCATTCAGTACCCGGAGCCCGTGGGCGCATTCTTTTGCATCCCAGTGAACCTCCATCTCCTCCTCTGTAAAATGGGATCATAATCGCCCTGACCTCACTGAGCCGATTATGTAAGTGCAAGCCAAGTTCTTAGGTCCTGGTGCCCAGGTGGCAGGCCTGATAAGTGTCACCTAGTTTTACTAATGTTTACAAATAAAGCATGGACCATTACCGGTGGGAAGCTGGGTGCAGTGGGAAGCTGGGTGCAGTAGGAAGCTAGGATTTAAACAGGTGGGGGGAGGGTTTGCTTCAGCTCGCTCCTCACCTCCCCCCAGGTGCCCAGGGGTGGGTTTTCCTCCAAGTTCTGTGTGCTCTTCCTCAGCCCAGATTCCAGACCTTCCTGCCTCACACTACTCTGGGGACTCCTCGGAACCTGGAAGGCACTTTTCCTCATGAAAAAAGGTAGTTGTTGTTTCTCGATTTGGAATGTCAGGGAGGGAATGAAAGTGGAGGGTCACAAGATCACGTTGGTCAGCATCCTTATCTACCTACCAATTGGCCACAACCCAGCAAGCTTCTGCATAGGGCCATATTTGCAAAATCTTTGCAATCTTGTTGACTGCAAAGCACAGCCAAATATGAATGTTGTTCCAGCTCACTGTGAGATAAACTAAGGGTGAATGGATTTTATTATGTCTAGTTTCTGAAAAGGCTTCTCAGATCAGCCTTCTGTAAAGGCGTGGTAGATTCTGGAGTGTGATGAATTGTCTTTAGCTGGACTTCTTGCCTCTAGAGCAGTTTGTCACCTCTCCCTGATGGAGGTCCCATTTCTTCTCTTCTCTAGCATCCCCGCAGACTCCACTCCTCAGCTCTGCTGATGCACCTGAGCCAGGAGCTGTGGGGAGGGGCACCCGCTTCCTCAGACTGGCCATCTTGACCTTCACGCCACCATTACCAGTAAGTAATGTGATTCTTGCTCTCTCCCTCAGAGGGAATTTCCACTGGGGCGGTGTGTTCAGAAATATAATCTTTTCAACATGAAACTGCTGAGGGTCCAAGAAATAAAACACTCCAGCCAAAGGAACATCATCAGATTGCTGGGCAAGGAGAAATGAGGAGCTGAGAGTCTCAGCATTTATTATGGTTGCTCTTTGGATAAGTAAGGAGGGTGGGCTCAAACCACTTCATGCCTCTCACTCAAACCCTAGCAGGTAGGACAGGAACCACCAACATTTTATTGTTTCCAGAAATCTTGTATTGGGCAATGCCTGTGGGCCAGGCACTTCTCAGGTGCTTTCTAGACAATCTCCTCTACTGCTCATAACTCCACTGGGTAATACCCATTGTATGGAGAAGAAGACCGAGGCCAGAGTATCTGTTACCTCTCTGCATACTCACACCTTCCTCGCATCAGAGGACCGGAACCTCTTCTTTCTCTGCATTTGAAAAGGTGTGAGCACCCCAATGGGGCCAAGAGGGGGCATGAATGACAGGGGCTCTTTCTTCACTATACTCTGTGGTTCTCTTGAACATTCAAAAGGGCAAGTGAGAATCAGATCAATGGATGAAACCACCTTGACTAAAAATGAAGTTTCTCAAGTGTGGGATGGTCCGTTTTCCCTTTCCAAGTCCAGTCACTCATCCCGGGGTGACAGGACTGGGGCCTGGGTCTGGAGCTGCCCACACAGGCTGCGCTCAGTGACGGGAAGGATTCGCAAGATGCCGGCCGTGAGGGGTCATGGTGCTTGGTCCCCATGACTGGCTAAGGCCAGAGGCAGGCGTGTATGCTCCCAACAACTTGAGTTACAGACACAGATGAACACAGATAGGAACAATTCACAGAACCTGCTCGCACCCATTGAAGGACAGCCGAAAGGGGCCACAAGGCTCTGGCCGCTCCCTGAGGCAGGTGCGCATCTTGGTCTTGGCCCCCGAGCACAATTTCTCCCCATCTCTTTTCCTGCTCCCACCCCAGAGCACAGCTTACCTGGCCCCAGCTTGGAGATAGCGTATAACAGATCGTAATTTATGACCGGAGTAGCATCTTCCACTTGTTTCCAACCAACCGGCGGCGAGGCGGGAGGAGAGATCAGAAACTGCTTGTCTGGATTTGGGGGAGCCAGGTGGGAACTTCCTATGTGTAAAGTCTGAGGAGAGAGAGAAAACACAGGTGGATGTTTCTGGAGGAAAGAAGCCACGCGATGCAACAGCACTTAGTGAGCTTGCGGGGGACAGGGGACAAAGGATGACCCCACGTCTGGGCAGCGGAATGCATGCTGTTCAAGGACGGCTCGCCATACGGTCTATTTGGAGAAGGCGGTGGGGCTATGGGGCGCCCCCTCCCAGGACCGGGACCCACAGGTGCAGGGGCGGCACTGACCCAGACTGATGGAAAATTAGTACCGTTTTAGTAGAAATGGGAAAAATAAAGCCCTGTTGCTTGAGGCCAGAGGGATCTCAGCATCTATTTCTTCCGGCTCCTCATATCACGGAGGCATAGCGGAAGCTCCAAAAGGCTAAGCTACAGCTCGAAGATGATAGAGTTTCTCAGGGGCCAAAGCAGGGATGGGGCCCAGGGCTCCTGCCTACCCCGTGGTACCCAGCAATTCCCTCCCTCTGGGCTTCCAAATCACATGACAAAAGCGATGAAGGGAAAAAGGATCCACCTTCCAGGAAGTTTAAAAAGTAATAATAATATGAAACAATAACCCATGACGCTAGCTTGGGCTTAGAAGTCCTATCAGTGGCTAGAGGGCTGTCCACAAAGGTGTTACATCAACGTCTAACCAGTTTGGGTTTTCTTTGTATTTTAATTTTCACAATGAGCGCACATTTACTTTCGTAATCAGAAGAAAGCTGTCGGGGGCGCCTGGGTGGCTCAGTCGTTAAGCATTGGCCTTCAGCTCAGGTCATGATCCCAGTGTCCTGGGATCGAGCCCCGCATTGGGCTCCCTCCTGAGTGGGAACCCTGCTTCTCCCTCTCCCACTCCCCCTGCTTGTGTTCGCTCTCTCGCTGTGTTTCTCTCTGTCAAATAAATAGATAAAATCTTAAAAAAAATAATAAAAGAAAATAAATAAATAATAAAATCACCAGCTTTAAAAAGAAAAAAGAGAGAGAGAGAGAGAGAGAAGAAAGCTGTGGGAGGACTAAGTAACGATCCAGAACATGATCAAACTCAGAAAGGAGTGTGCTCACAACTAAGGATCCAAGGTCAAAACCCGTGCCTCCCACAGGCCACCAGGGGGCAGGGCATCCCAGCTCTAATTTACGCTTGAGGGGCCAGCAAGCCCTCCTGCCCAGGTCAGGAAGCCTCTCTATAATGTCTGCTCCTGTACCGCCCTGGGGAGCTCAGAGCCCCAGTGTGGGCCAGCTAGAACCAGAAAGCAGCATCCAAGAAGTTCCTTCTCCTTCCACCGCTAACCTGTTGGATCCCTGTTACATCATCATATAGAACTTTGTGAGCTGCCTTGAAAATGGGTCACCGATCATTGAAGGTTGGAGGGAGGGGAGCGGGAAGAACTGGAAGGATGGTGAGCCAGGGAAAAAGCAAACCCATGCACAGCCCTTCGTGAATGTCTTGGGGCCGGGACTCCTGCTACCAGGAGGATTTCTTAGCGTTTGCTACCTGTTTCCTTTCAAGCCAGGCCTGGCAGCCCTGTGCCCATGTGCATGCCCGCATTTGCACGCTGCGGGCTCTCCATCACATGGAGCTCGGTGCTGCTAAGAAACTGCACAGAGTGGGGACCCACTCAGGTCTGCTCTCCGTCTGGAGCACATCATTAGCCCTAACCCTGGAGCAACTTCCTGGAAACCCTCTGCACAAACCTTCGAGTGCTGGAGTAGCCACGGCCACAACCTTGTACTCTACGGACCACCTTCCTAAAGGAGCAGGAAAGGTTCTGCCAGAGTTCCTCAAACCAGGGTCAGGGCCATTTCTGAGATTGCCTGCTTTCAAACACATGCTGATGTTTTCTTAAGAAAGGTGAGGCACTGAAAATTTAGAGTATGAACTTCGCCTTTCTCAAAACTTAAGAGTTTTAAATTTCTTTTTTTTTTTAAGATTTTATTTATTTATTTGACAGAGAGAGACACAGCGAGAGAGGGAACACAAGCAGGGGGAGTGGGAGAGGGAGAAGCAGGCTTCCGGCGGAGCAGGGAGCCCGATGCGGGGCTCGATCCCAGGACCCTGGGATCATGACCTGAGCCGAAGGCAGACGCTTAATGACTGAGCCACCCAGGCACCCCCATATAATGATCTTTTTAAACACATTTTCATGTGGCAGTAAAATGGTCACGAATAATGATGCATGGAGGAAGGGTATGGAATAGGATATACTTTGTAATTCCAATATTACAGTCCAAATGTATATGCATTAAAAAAATCAAGGTATAGCATAATCAATGTTTAAGCTACTTTTAAAAGGGGGGAGAGGGAGAAGCATGCGTATCAATGGATTCAACTCACCTGGGCAAAATATAATTTCATTTCCTTTCCGAGAAATTCAGTCTTATGCAGTTGGAGCCTGGCATCTGCTGCAGATAAGGGGTTGCTGAAGTTTATTCGGACTCGTTTGAAGCTCTTAAAATACTGAAAGGTGATATCCTTGTCATATGTCCTAAAGAGGGATTCAAATTTGGCCTGAAAAGTAACAACAAAAATAAAAGGAGTTAGAACACATCTGCGTAGGAGTCTTGACAACTCCATTGGTTTCTTCTTGGGGAAGTGAACTAGTATCATTTCGAGAACACCCAACTCCTTTCTTAGAGGGGACGGAGAGCCACCCTCTGAGGAAGATTTGCTCTTTCTGCCCTTTTAAGTCTAAGACAGGTGATTTTATTAAATTCACAGAATGAGCAGAACAAGTACCAATACTTAACCACCTCTTATAGTCACAGAAACAGTCTTTTAAAGTGGAAAAGGACAGTTCCTAACGTCCAACAACCTTCCCCAGCCCCGTTAACTCTGATCCCACTGCTCAGTTTTGGGTGTTGCTGTGTGCAGCAGATATTTCTTTAGGGCTTAAGAACACTGGAGCTCATTTGAAAAAAAAAATTTTTTTTATTGCACTGGGAAACAATGAAGTTAAAAGAAACCTTGCATTTCTTAGTGTAAAGGAAGAGGTTTAAGAAGAAATCCCCCTATTGTTTTCCCACTTGGTCTGTTACTTTTTAACTCTCTAAAAGAATACTGGTTTAAAAATTAATGTACTGCAAATGGACCCATTTCTGCATGCTGGCTTTAATATATGTACATTTCTAGCTCTAGTGTTATAAAGGCTAGTGAAAATTATGAAACAACATGAGCTCTTAGAATGGAAATGCCCAAGTTCAAGGGTGTTATTAGGCTTCCATTCAGGAGGGAGCTCATTAGCCTTCTGGGAAAAGCTCTTTGGAGAGCGCCCCCTGCTGGGCTGGGTCCAGGAGGGGGAGGGGGCGTCAGCGAGAGGGTGCGGGGGGGGGGGGGGGGGGGGGGGGGGGGGGGGGAGCTGGGAAGCCACTGCAAGGCCTCAGGGTTCCAACCAGAGAGGGAGTTGACAGCCGAAACTTCCAGAAAGATTGTATGGACTTTGAGTCGTCGTGCTTTCCGAGTCTTTTTTTTCCAGACTGAACACCGAGGACAGGTTGTGGGAATTCTGTGTAAGGCAGAAAAGGGCTGGCTGAGGGTCTGGTGGGGGCAGCGTGCCTTCTATAAAGGGGATCCATGCAGAAGGGGAGGTGGGTGGGGCCCACTGAGCACCTCGGAAACCTGTGGAAAGCACGGTTTCTGCAGAGGGGCGGCGAGAGAATGGTGTATAAGAAGGGAGAGCATTTTCAAGACTCTTCTTCGGCGCTAGACAGAGGGGAGGGAATGGGATGTCCGGGGCCAAGGCGCTCCATAGGCAGGACAGGACCTGTGTTCCAGCTCGTGGGGCCAGTGGTCAGCCTGCCTCCACTGGGCAGGTTGTTAGGGGGGTGGTGGTGGGTGGGAACACTTCCTCTCTTTGAATTCCGTGGCTTTTCTTTAGTTTATGAACAGTTCTGAGGGGTTTTGCAGAGGTAAAGAATGAGAACAATGCACAGCAGATGCTTCGCGGAGGATTTTATCTGGCTGCGTGTGTTTTTTTCTCCACCTCTCTCGAGCATGAGGTCGGGCAAGTTTCTGGCACAGCGTATGGGCATAAATTTCGAATTTTGCATGACCTCATCAATAGGCATTGTGACCAACTGCTTAGTTTTGAAGTTATGATTCAGAATTTAGGGGGAGAGGACTTTGAGGAATATTTTTAGAATACAAGTCAGGGCTCAGGACCAGAACACAAGAGAAGCACAGTATCTGTTGAATCCATATTACTGTGATACCATTCTCCAATAAAGTAATCTTACTGGTTCTAAGAACCGGTATCTGGTTATTACAGTTGTTGGATGGCATCTCTAATTAATTAAATAAATACTGATTTTGACTCATATAAGGCTAATGCGAAATACACAGATTTTGTAGTACTTTCATACGTAGAATGTGCTCTAATATCTAGTTCAAAAAAAGACCAGTCCTGGCTCACAAGTATCATACGCAATTATGGAGTTACATTTGATTTAAAAACAACAACACAGGCTCAATATGGCATTGAGTATAAAGCATAACACACGAATACCATCCCCAAAACAGAACACACAGAATTCATCCATATACAGTACTGTTCAAGATCAATTAGACAGCTGGGTAGCCAGTGATGGAAATCTTACATCTTAATCAAATGAAGAAAAGCACAGTAATTAAAATTACTAATTATACTAATTACCATCAATGAGAGCTGCTTCCCAGGAGGTACACTTATCCCCCACTTAAGTTATTTATCCAGTTTTATTACTTGCTATGGCCTCATTTTCCCTAGCTAAAGAAATCTGAAAACTTGAGGACAGGCCTTTGTAATGACTACAAACATACACACATCTTTACGATATTTATTTCCTAAGATAAAATTATTCTGGTCTCTAGATGTCAAAGTGAAAAGCTCCATTCACTGTCAGAAAAAGCTTCCCTCTAAAAGTTTACTACGACCTACACAGAACGAAAAATACCCTGTTAAAACCAGTTGCGTTACCAGTTGGTCAAGGGACCTAGATGTTTTCAAGTATTGAAAGCTTTAAAAATTCCTTCACGGTTAAGTCCTCAGGCAACGGCTTTTGACTGATAAAGCTCCAAGTATTTTGGATTTATTCCAAACCCCCAAACCCACAAGACAGCCACATAACACCCTGCAAATATTTCAGTTAATAGTCCCAATTAACATAATGCTTTGAAAACTCTCAAAAATCACATTACATTAGAAGCCTTACCCTGGTTTCACTTTCGCTGAAGAGATCACTGTTTGCCACACAGGCAATCAGGGAGCTAAAACTGTAGTTAAAGTTTCTAAAGTGCATCTTGCTTTCTTACAGTGAGAAGACTAGCAGCTCAGGCAGTCAAGCCCCAAGTGAGATTCCTTTGCAAGAGGCTGTAGGTCCTTTCTCCGGCCAGCCCTTTATAAAGCACTGAAGTCCAGCCCCCTGGGAAAAAAAAAGCACAGCTTCCAGAGCATCCTGTTTGGACAGCAAATTCCTGAGTCAAGTCTGCATGCTTTCAGGCCGAGGGAGACAGAGTGTAAGTTTCTACTGGAAAGAGGTGACGTCAACACCTTAGTCATTTTCCCTATGCTAATTAACTTTGCTTGGGGAGGATGGAAAAAACAGCCAAGGTTTGCCTTGCAGCTGCTTTATCAACGCCTCTTGCAGCATACTTTCCATTGGTAGCAATTCCATTCAGCCACTCAGACACCATGCTCCTCGGCTGAATGGGACGACCCTTCTTGAGATGGAAAATGTTACCGAAGAAAAATGAGGAAGGTCTCCGCAGTAAACAGCAATTAGCCTCTAGGGGAGTTTCGAGCCTTTGGGAAACCTGGAAACCCAAGTCTCGACTCGTCGTTTGATCCCTGTAATTCCCTGAAAACCTCAAAGTTTCATGTTGGGGTATTAGAGAAAACATTTTGAAATCTTTCTTGGTCAGTGAACTCTTGTTTTTAAAGAAAAAAGTGGAATTCATTTTGAAATATGGCTTTCCCCCCCTAATTGAACTTTACTGGATGAATGTCCCAATTCCTGCTTGTATTCCACAGTGGGAACATGGGAAGAGATCCTCAAGCAATCCTGGGATTTTTCATTGGAAAACTTTATTATTAGTAATTTGGGAACTAGGAATATGCAACCCCTTGATCATTTTCTAATGGCTATTGGATTCCGAAAAAGATACAAAAACATTTTAAGAGAATCTCAGCTCTGAAGTTGAGAAAGGAAACATTGCGGGCAGTTGTCTTGCTCTGAGACACGTAGACAAAGTTTGTTGTTGTTGTTGTTTTAATAGGAAAGGAAGAAGAAATGGAAAGAACGTATGCTACGTTGAAAAGTTAGTTCAGCTGGCCCCTTTTCCAGGTGCGATGTCTGGTGTGGAGAAGCTACTGGGATGGCAGGATGCTAGTTCTTTCCAAAGGCTGCAACTCTGAAATTCTAAGCACTTGACCAGCGTTGATCCCTATGGCAGCCTGGGTCCCAGGTCCTGCCCAGTCTCCCCAATTTCACTGTCACCTAAAAGCATTCCAGTTACTTATAAAAGCATTCTCTAGTCTAGAGGCATACAGAGACACCTCCTCCGGAAGCTTCCAAAACTTAAACAGAACCCTGCCATTCACACGTAAAGATTAACTTCAAAGAATCATTAAAGCCAGCCAATAATAAAATGAATATATGCCACGGAGAAAAAACAAACCAGAGCATTTATCCCTCCAAAAAAGGAAAAGCAAAGCCTTCTTGGATGAATGAGCGTTGCTTCATTTCGATGCACGCTGCCTTGCTGCCAACTGTAGGGTTATGTAAGAAACCGGTTACGGTGTTTGCTTCGCCAAATTACCCCTCACCCCCAACCTGAAAAGATCTGAATGCAAAGTTTGGAACACTGTGAATAGTAGGGGTTTGCATCGAACACCAAGGGCAAATGGTCACGTGAGCTGATGCTTGGTGTTGGGGAGTGTGCTTGGGTGTGCTGCATTTTCAGTGTGGTCGGCAGTGGGTCCGTGACACATGGCTTTTTAGTTTCCGGTGGCCTCAGTGTGGCTAGGGGAGGTGTTGCTGGAGGAAAGAAGGGGAGGGGGAGGGAGGAGACACAGAACTGCCTCCGCTCCTCCAGAGAGTCTGGGGACGGATCTGAGGTGCCCCCCCACCCCTGCAAGCTCCAACCCCTTTTCTCTTTCTCCTGGAGTCCACCTTAGCAAACAGAGTTAAAAGGCGATCAGAGGAGGAAGAAGAGGCTGATTTCACTGTCTTCTTCTTCTTCTTGTTGTGTTTTTTATTTTTTTTTAAGATTTTAATTATTTGACAGCACAAGCAGAGGGAGCTGCAGAGGGAGAGGGAGAAGGAGGCTCCCCCCTGAGCAGGGAGCCTGACTCAGGACTCGATCCTAGGACCCTGGGATCATGACCTGAGCTGAAGGCAGACGCTTAACCAACTGAGCCACCCAGGCAGCCCCTCTTTTTTTTTTTTTTAAATCATGACATGAAGTTCCAGATCAGTTGTGTGGGCAGCTCTGAAACATTTTTGTTCATCTGAGACAAGAGTACTGCTGCTCATCCAAATTTACAGTTTTTGTTTCATTATATGGATGAAAACAACAACAAAAAAGGAATAGTGAGGTATCGGAATATTGTTCATCTGTCTTTGCTCATAGAAATAGATGACAAATGATCGATCTTTCACCAGGCTGCCCAAAATGCCTAATAAAAATGTGTAATTCTGTACCTGCCTCTGAATTGATTTCAAGCTCATTTGAACCCAATTTTTTTTTAAAGATTTTATTTATTTATTTGACAGAGAGAGACACAGCGAGAGAGGGAACACAAGCAGGGGGAGTGG